GGAACTCCTTTGGCGCGTTATCAAAGTCAATCCAGCTTGCAAAACGCTTGTTCAGTATAATACGTTTAAAAGTATCGCTTACGTCGACTGAAATGTCACTTGAACATGAAGCACTACAAAAAACAGCCATTAATTTAAAAAAAGTTATTTCTTGAAAAAATAATAACTAAAGAAAGTACTTCAAATATTTAAGACTTGCCGGTGACTTGACATTTCGTTTGAACTTTTGCGTTTAACAGCGATTCAAAGAAATTTCAGGTATCTATAATTTTAAATTTATCTCATCTTTGTTACGTTGTTTTCTGGACCTTATCAAAAAATTATACAAAGGCGTTCAGGTTTACTACAGTAGTTGCGATGACAAATCAAGGTACGAGGCAACAATAGAGCTAACGAGTACACTACAAAACACAGAATGCTAAATTAATGCTTTTGGCAGTTATTTTGTGCTTATTAATGCGGCGAAAGGCTACTTAAATGCAAAAAAGCCTAATACTCGTTCAACCCAATAAACCCACGGCAATTGAAATACGGAATGACCGCCTATTGTCAGGCCATTCAAGGTCGTTTAAACAAAACAGCGGACAGCTTTGAAATAGTCTGACTTTTCCCGTACCAGGATTGATCAGATGGCATGGCTCAGCCTTGCAGGCATGGTCCTTGTTTAGTGCTGTTATATATATATATATTGTCCTATCTCTAGCTTGAGGGTATTCTTCACCATATATTGATGATTGTTACGATGCAGTGAGTTGGTGTAGATAATGATGTGACTTCCACGTAAAATCTTATAGATTGGGTAATTACATAGTGACAAATCTACAATTTCGGGATTAAGTCTATTTATGGAGCGGCACTAATAACGAAGTGGACCATAATTCTATATATGCACCCAAGGACCGAAGAAATTGGTAATGTATGACAAAACAAAAGCACTACCTTGCCAACCATTCAATGGTCCATACAAAGTTATCTCAAAGAAACTCACATAGCTCAGCCGGCAGAGAATTCCGGCACTTGACAACTCCTAAGGAGTAGAAGCTATGTCAACAGTCCGTTTTGATATATATTCACTTTTTATGCCAAGTACATATGTGATTGAGCCATGAACAATCCACCGAGAAATAAAATGGGAAATGCCATATCAGCAGGGATATGTCACAACGAAGTGATGAATCTCCAACAGAAGTGAGTATTGTTAGAAGTCTACACCTGTGAAACTAGTAATTTTTTCTAGGTTTTTCTGTTGATAACGGAAGACAGCGGAAAGTCGGATTGAAGTGATGAAAAAAATCCTTCTGGATACTTGTAGAATTATGGTCTACTATGATATTATTACTGCTCTAATAATAGACCTAATCCTAAATTTGTAGATTTGTCATGATATAACTGCCTAATCTATAAGATCTTACGTGGAAGTCACACCATCGACTACACCAACTCACCGTATCGTAACAACCACCAATACATGATGAAGAATAAGGTTAGGCTAGAGAAAGAACAATATATTTAATATGAATAGAAGATATAAGGTAACATTCAGCAGAGACCACGCCTGCATGGCCGAGCCATGCCACTCGATCAACTCCAGTCCATTCAATTCATTCTCTACGCCTTCTCCATTGTTAGGTATTTATCCGCGTTAAATATTGAATATCTATTTTCTGAGTAGTCTCGTGTTCACAGCTTTGTGGATTGTGTGGCTATTGTCCAATGCCACTACATACTTGCTTAAGGCCCAAACAATGAACCCTCGCTGTAACGACCGAGCTGTGAGTATTCGATTTGAACGCAGTACTGACGAACCAAAATTTATTCGATTAGACCAGACCACGTTCTTCTGTTTAGCGTAATAAGCGTTTTTGAGATACTCGTATTAAATTATATCAAAACAAAAACTCTGTGCTCAATTTAAACGATTCTAATTTAGGAAATATAAAAAATTATATCAAAAATACAAAATACCTCAAACGGTACAGCCCGTGATATACAGTCATAGGTATCTCCAACGCAAAGTAGCACGCTAAACAATAAAAGAAATATATAATACGAAAGGGTTTGATACCTGAGAATCAATAAAAATATTCACAACAAGATAGGATCAAATATCTATTTTCAGGGATTCCGGCAATTCTCCCAAGCAAACAGTCAAAAGGTTAACAGCAACACACTGAACTACGCCGCGACCTTGAGCTTAGTCAAACACGACCTTACCGGCAATACTCCGGCATCAGGCGACAGAAAATTAGATAACAAAACATAAGTCTTTAAAAAAATCACATAATAAACGCACAAACGAGGAAGACTAAGTAAGAAAAGGTGTGGATAGGTGAGATCTGAACAAAGGTTAAAATACACGACAGGGAGAAGAAACAAATAAATGACAGTACTGCTCAACAAAAAAGCTGCCGTGGGATTTTCATCGTTCTCTTTCTGTTACACTCGCAATAACGACGAATTCCGAAGACAATCCTAGAGCTTTTCTTTAGTTCAGTAAAGGATCTTTTATGTTGATAGTACTTTAAAACGTGCAGCATGTTATAGTCATTTAGGCTAGTAACGTATATTTGGTTCATCATCACCTACAAACTTATTTTCTCTATAAGATCCATTCAGTGGTTTCATATGGCAATAAAATACTATGGAAAGGTGGTTTGTAGACGAAGCGTTTTAGATCAATTAATTGTTCGATACCTGTTAGTGGTTCTCACTGTCATTTTTACATGCTTATAAAGATTATGCACTAAACTGACGTATATTTTTATAATATGAATTGTAATGTAATCAGGTAACATAATTCATTGGCGTTATTCAACACATTTTTTAACTACTGACGTTTATAAATCAATAAACGTGAACCCATTCTGGACGATTAAAAGCATTTTACATTTAAAACAACACTACCCACATTTTTCCATTGAATCTGACTTATTTTCGTTCCATGAGTTAGTCTGCACCTTGCTAAATGGTTAGAACTTCACGTTTAAAGACAGCCTTTTTCAGAGTTCCTTAAATTTCTAAAACACCTCTAATAAATATATAAGGTGTAAGGTGACTGTTTAACTGACACGCTGGTCTTTTGACTACTGAGAATAACTGCGCCGGTGTCACTTACGCCATACTCGTAGAAGTCAACTTCTTGACATCAGAGTAAGGCTTCAATTATAACATGGGGGGACGAAGAACGCTTAATCCCAATGATTTTATAATGACAATATATATTTCTACAATGGCAGGTACATGCCATTTTTACGGGCATTATCTATAAATTACAACGTTTATTGTTCCACAGTATACATGTTAAATAAATATGGTCTATAAAAGTGAATATCAGTTCATTCCTTCAGATATACACAACTTTGGAAACTCCTCTCTAGTAGTATCCCAAGTCGAAAAAGATTTAGGAGTCCTGGTGCCCCATGACTTAAAGTCTTACGCTAACTTTGACAAAAATGCCTTCAGAGCAAACCTTGCACTGGTAACGTTGAGGCGCATTTTTGGACAGTTTGACGGAAGAACTTTCCACACAATCTTCAATAGTTTCATCCGTCCCCATTTAGAGTACGGAAACATAGTACTCCCCCCTCACTCCAAAAGGACAAGGTCACTTTGGAGCGTATCCAACGGCGAGCTACGAAATCAGTTCGAGGACTCAAATCTAAGCCTTACGAAGAACGCCTCCGTTCACTAGACCTTTACCCACTAGAATATAGGCGTCTTAGAGGTGATTTATTAATGGCTTATAGTATTCTTAACACTTCTGGACATCCTCTTAAACACCTACTTAAGCTTAGTTCGAATAATAACCTAAGGGGTAACACCCAGAAACTAGAAACACAACATAGCAAGACGGAATGTAGACACAACTTCTACTCCTTAAGAGTTGTCAAAAGCTGGAATTCGCTGCCGGCCGAGCTATTTCAAGCGACTTCTCAGGAGTCCTTCAAGAGGCAACTTGACCTACTCTTAAGAACCAAGGACAGCATCACACTATGATTTACCAATTTCTTTTCCTCTTTTATTGTTAACATACCTAGGTTCCTGCCTGGAGGATTTGGTGATCCCCTGCTACTAGACACGGAAGCCTGTTAAGCGAAAGCTTCTTCTATTCCGTCCACAACCATTTGAACCATTTGAACCATTTAATATTCAAAATATTCTCCAAAGTGACATCGCGTATGTTCAGACATAATAATAGTAATATAACTGTGAAAAGGTTTAGAGGACATAGAATATATCACAATGCACAATAATATTTATTTAGAACAACACAGCAAGAAACAGACACAGATAACCGTTTAGTGTACCAGATAAAGTCGAGGCTTATTGATCAGAAATATGCAGGGTCTGACAAATATCTTGTCTTAAATTTCTCTCTATATATAGATTCCAGAGCTGACGAAATCAGAGGTCAGTAATAAATGGATGGGAAGGCATATTTGAGCAAATGTTAATATATGAGTGTGTGTAATCTTAGCAGATTACTTGTTATAGATGTGCAACTAGTGTCCCCAGCCGTGATCTGATCCGGATATTTGACCAGACTTCTTCAACTGGGTCGTGCCCATTGAAACCAATAAGGTTAGCATCAACGTCGAAAACTTATCGAGCTAGCTATTTGAGGGATTTATCTACCACCATATACAAATGGAGGTAATGTGGATCGATTGCACTCATTAAAGTGAAACTGGAGGAATAAACCTGAAAGTTAAACGAAGTCTAGGATCCTTAGTCAACCTCCCCAACACCTTGTGTTGATCAAGAACAGGGATACTTAATTTGTTGGCCACAACAATCCAAGAGAATATAATCCAAATGATTGTATTGATAATTTGTAGGGAAATGTAATATTCGTAAGCAAGTTTCTAGGTCCGTGAACAACTCAAAGTCTAATATTCCAGTAGTAAAAGTAATTTTTAATGGTGGCAGATGATAGCTTTATTTAGTCAGATACTTTGTTAAAGCTGTTTTCTTCATTTTATGTTGAACCTCGAACAAATCTAGGCCAGTTGGCTGCAATGCGCTAGAATGGAAATCCTTAAACACGTTTTGGGGTTTTTGGTTTTCTTAAAGTTCTGTTCACCTTATGTTATTCAATTGAATTCAACAAATTGGAAACAAATGTTAGATGGTGAATGGCTTGTAAAATTGTAAGGAAGTTTTAAAGATTCGATATCTCGATATATAACAGTTTTCCATTTGGTATTTTAATTGCTTCCTTAAAATAAAATGTAAGGTAGTTGTTGCAAATGTTACACTTGTATTTTTTAAATCCACTTGTACGGTAGTTGCCATAATTCTCTGTGTAAAATCAAATGATTTTTCTAAGAAGAATAACAGTAGATTTATAGAATTTCACAAATCGACTTAATTCCGAAATTCATGAAATAATAAGAAGGCTCGCAAGTATTCAGAATTTAATCCAACGTTTTGTTGTTTGTCTTCAGGCTACTATTTTTCTACTACGAAGAAGCACTAGCTAGTCCGCATTTTCAGTTGACTCTTTCAAGAAAAGACTGGACACTCACAGAAGGAATAACATAGGCTGTAGGCCTTCTGTCCTTACTACACAAATCTGAGTCTAGTCAATCTACCGTGTTGTTTTGACCGTCATTGTTGTAGTTCCATGTGTTTCTAAAATTTCGCCATATGAGGTAGCATAATCATATTAGAGGGTAATCTAAGATACAGAATCACACATTCTTCATTTCTTTACTCAGAAATTCTCCAAGTTGTGGAATCGTGCCTCTGGTAATTAATAATCAAGTTTCGTGCCACATAACGGTAATATAATATTGGCTCTCTGAATACCAATCAATAATAAATATGGATGCGCAACATGATTTGCCAGTTTTTTTATTTTATTGTTTTTAGACTATAATAGTTGCCCTGTGAAGTGGAAGTTAAACACTTTATATTGACCTATTTTAATAGATTCCATATCCTGGGTTATTTCCAGATATATTCTAAGGAATAAGATAAAATAAGGCTAGTAGTATATTAGTTCACTCGGATTATCCCCGACCGATAGTTTATTCCCTTGTTCTCTGAATGTTAAAACGGTTCGGTTTCATACAGCAGGTTTTGTGTTGCTTATAATCGACTGGTTAAAAAAACAGATTAGCAATTAGTTGATAGTCTTACTGACTACTGGGTAGCGTTCATTTTTAGGTTGATGTTTAGTGAAAACACCAACCGCATTAACGAAGTGTTTTAGTAAGTCTGTAATATTAATGTTTTTCAGAAGTATAAACTCGTTCATTACTACACTTTAGTCTTCAAAAACAATAGTATTGCAATTCACTCCTTGTCATTTGCTTCACTGTTCGTATTCAATCTGGGCTGATGCATATTTATTGATTATAAATTACTGGTATTAAAAACTGGGACTTTTTATATGGTTCTAAAATAAGACATGTAATATCAATGTACGACAATAATCCGCTTGTCATCACATTTTTTAGAGCTAAAATATAAGCTTGACCAATAAGTTCCTATAACTTGGCTGTAATATGGTTGACTGAATTCAAAGTGCATATTATCTATAACAGAAGACAGTTAGTTATCAATAGCTTAACCTTTCCTGTCAGCTGAAGTACTAAGGAGAAAATCTTCGCTTATTACGAACTTTTTCCTTCGAACCTTAGTTAATGTCAGTCAGTCAGTCAGCTACAACGTAGGACCAGGCACATATATGCATCGGTCCAAGTTGCCATACCTCATTAACAAAACAAGATGGACACCGGATTCATATAATTAGTTAATTCAGAGGTGGTAATATATAAAAGAAAGATTACAATAAGGATATAGTACAGGAAGAAAGAACTAGTTCGTAGAAAGAAGGATGTGAAGCGATTTTAATCTCTTAGTTTAAGGGAAGACAGAGAGTGTATACACTGACGCCATTGTGATCGATTCTGAGCCATATCACCCAGAGTCTCCAACCATTGGTTACGATAGTCACGCGGACCCCAACCAAGTAGTTTGCATCTCCCGAAATAGCTCAGACTAGAAGTTAGTGACTTCAGGGACTGATGCCACGTTTTGGTTTGGCCACCCCTCACTTTCTTCCAACCATCTCCAACACCGGTTAGCATTGTGAGTCATGGTAATCGGTGTTCAGGCATACGTAACACGTGGCCCAACCATCTCAGTCGATGAAGTTTCACAACCTCATCAACTGATTTACCATCGTTCCCTAATACCCTTGCGTTTAACCTCACTATTATTAGCTGGTGATCACAGCAGATGCGAGCGTCTGTGGTCGAAACAGAACGAACTTCCGCGCAGTATACTCGTCCTTTCATTGATAGACGGATATCTCGCCTTCGCCAAAGGTGACGTAAGTTGGCAAAAGCCAAGCGAGCTTTTCGAATCCGTGCTGCGATTTCGTCAGACACGAACCCAATATGGCTGATCAGACTTCCAATATAAGTGAAGTTGCCAACGCGTTCGACTACTTCACTCCCTATCCTTAGTTCAGTTGTTGACGCAGACCAGTCCTGAAGCAACAATTTGCATTTAGAAGGAGAGAAGCTCATCCCAAACATTCTGGCATTGTTGCTCAGTGCTACCAAAAGACTCTGCATTTTATCAGCGTCTTCACCAAACAGGACTATGTCATCTGCGTATTCTAATTCGATAAGTGGACCTCCTGGTAGGAGATCAATACCCGAGAATTCAGTCGACGAGAGCGTTATTTCCATCAGTATTGCTATGACCTTGATGTCTGGCTTTCTATCACGCGACTTATCGACCAGTCAGAATACGACTTATACAATTTTGCACTATGCCAAACCAATGACGTTCCACTTGAGTCCAGAACTCAATACCAGCTTGCAAAATCAGATGACAGTTCACGATATGCTCTGACTCGACTAGTGGTGTTCGAGTAAAATGCCTTCACAAGGTTTGTGTACTTCTGGAGTACGCCTTTCAATGACAGACACTGCCACAGAATCTCGTGGTCTACTGAGTCAAATGCTGCTTTTAAGTCAAGAAAGACCACCATTGTCGGACGTCGATAAGTATGCCTGTGTTCTAGAACCTGACGAATGGTAAATATGTGGTTGATGCAGCCACGACCAGATCTGAAGCCAGCTTGATTCTCACGTGTTTGCAGTTCACGAGTCTTAGTGAGGCGACCGATAATTATTGACTCTAGTAATTTAGATGCTATGTTAGTCAAACTAGTCCCATTATTGTTGTCACAGGATGATTTTAACCCTCTCTTATATATTGGGATGATAAGTGATTGTGACCAGTTAGATGGAATTACGTCCAACTTCCAGATTTTAGCTAAAATATTAGTCAACCTAATCGCTAAAATTGGACCACCATCCTTAAAGACTTCTGGAGCCAATCCATCTGGACCAGCTGCCTTTCCTCGTTTCAGATTAACGATAGCCTTCTCAACTTCAGCAAGAGTTGGGGGACCTACTTCAATGTTCCATTCACATTGTCTGGGGATGGAGGGTAGTTGTAAAGTAGCTGAAGGCCAGTTGAACTGTTCTCTGAAATGTTCCTCCCATCGTTCTAAACGTCTGGACTTGGAGCAGATGAGTGTCGTCTCTTTCCGAGATAGTCTCACTTACACTTGACTTATTAATTCCAGTTTCTTTTATTAGTCTATAAAGCTGTCTTGTGTTCCCTATAGTCGCTGCCTTTTCCATCTCTTGCTTTCGTTACCCACCACTGCTCACGGTTGTTCCTTAGACTTTTTCTTAAGCTAAATCTGATTTGTTTACGCTCTTCATCGTCTTCAGAGCCTGATGGGACGAGTTTGCGAGAATCCATCAGTGTGATAGACCTTGAAGAAATCCACTGGTTCTTTGTAACTCTGTGGTTTAAGTCACTAACAGATTTCATTGCTGTTTCCACAGCTGTTTGTATATCTTTCCAAGCAACATCAGGGTCATCCTCGTTTTCAGAACTACCTAAGTGTGACCTCAGTTGTTCCTGGAACCTACTTTTGGTTTTCTGGTTACTCAACTCAGTTCTAATGGGTCTTTTTAATGTGGCTTTTTTGCGTCCAGTGAGGCGCAAGCAAATGCGTGCCCGTATTAGGGCATGGTCGGAGTCCAAGCTGGTACTCCAGAATGAGCGGCAATCTATTTGAGTCCATCGTTGGTTTGGTGTAGGGGGTCGCCATGTTAGACAATGTCTCTCCTTATGCTTAAAATTTGTGACACTTGAGGAGGAAGCCGAAAGAGAAAATTTAGAGTTGAAAGTCGATGTAGGAGGAATAATAGGAATTGAAGAGGGAGGTTGATTATGAATACAGTGGTCTTGAGTGCTGTTAGAGGTATGAGGGCGGTTATCACTTCCCGGTTGCCCACACCGTGGAAGGGTTCTTCTGGAGGTACCTGAAAAGGAAATCGGATTAGAGGTGGTCTTAGTGACCTGAGAGCGTGACCGCAGTGCCCAAGGGACAACTGCTTGAGGTCGGTCACACACGACCTTGTTATGGGTAATTTTTGTGTTAGCTCCGTACTTATTGAGACCTTACCGCCGGAGACGGATATCCGTGGGATAAGGCGAGGTGTGCATTTTTAGGGTCGACCTTTTCTAACCCCACCCGTCCTTGTGGGAAGGCAGCATCGCTGTCATGCTGGTTGTGTGAAGGAAACACCTTACTGCTGTCACACCTCTGTACAGTCAGCAGTACGACCTCGCCTTCGGACCTTGGGTTTGTTGCTTTTAGTCTTACGGTTCTTCAACCGACCTGTCTGACATGGTAGGACCTTGAGGAACGGTTGTTCCAGCCAGTATAGCTCGGTTGCTTCATCACGATAGGCAAGCCCGACCACCACGTCAAGGTAGCAACAACGGTCGGGACCTTAGTTACTGAAATAGTACTTGATGGATTAGAATTTTCTACTGAAGAGTGGTCAGTCATACACAGAAAAGCGATAGCTCTGTGCTTCACTAGACGTATCTTTATGTAAAAAAGGATGTCATTACATATTCTGAATATATATTAGCTGTCTCACCATACAATTTTTGTTCCGGCTGGTTCCACTCTACTCGTGGGCCGTTGCAATTACACATCTCTTCATCCGTCACCATATGTTTGTACCAAACAACCAATTAAAACTAACTTTTATGTGGATATGGAGTTCCAAAAGCACCGAAAAATTTCTCGTTTGATTTGAAGTAAAATTTCATGTCAGATATGTTTGTAAAGCAGTAAAGTGAATCAAAACTCAGTGTATGAACGAAAATCCATTTTATTTAGGAGGAACTGTGGAAATTAATATAACGAATCAAAGGCAAAAGTTTGTGGAGTTATAAATATATGAGAGGCATCGGTATAATATTTATTCCTTTCAGCAGAGATGAGGTAATGAGTGCACTAGAGAATAAAAGTATACATATAATGAAAATAAAGCGAAATAGGAAGTTATCACAGAGCAAGACGAATTCGTTTGTATCAGTCATTGTTAGTATCGTTTGAGTTGGTAGCTAAGCGGTGCTAATAGAATAATACATAATAATTCGCTGGTGAGTATGTTCTGAAATACTACCAGGGGGCCATAGGGAGGCAGTTGGTTACCTCAGGAGACTAATTCCCGAGTCTTAGACCATGAGTTTTAATTCTAAAGGGTATGAAGCAATTTCGGAAGACGCACTCTCATATTAGTTGGGGGCAAAATTAGTTCTTTTTCTCATCCACCATTCAGGGTTCAAAAGCCTATGTACACTATTGGTTTGGCATTACAGTTTACCAACTCACCTAGGTAGACCCGTCTTTATCAACCTTGTTTAAGTAGCGGTTTTTCGCTTCTTGTCCTCTAAGTTTCGTAGAAACCACCACGTGAAAACACTGGACAGGAATTTCACGGAAAAGACTACCAACACATGGTCGTATGAAAACATTGAGGCGGGAATGGACTCGTTTCACTCTTGCCTGTACTTAAAGTTTTTAGGAGCTCAGATTAAGGTTTAGTGGTGGTCTTGCCGTAGCCTTATGTGACATCCTGTACAAAATTGATCGGAACCTTCTTAGCTAAAGTCTCTCCGTGTATTGTTGACTGGACTACTTCATATGGTAAACTAGTATCCTTTTGATTGTACTCTCCGTTCATCTCTTAATTTTTCACAATGTCTCCATTTGTGTAGCGCACGTGTTTTGGTTCTCTGCTATACCAAAGTTTACGCGTGCTACATAGTAATTTTTATCACAGATTCCAATAACAAAGTGTTGATATAACAAACTAAACAAATACATATTTGTGCACTCGCCCTTTATGGAAAATATGTTAAACATTCTTAAACAGATTAGTGCGTCTTTTTCTTGGAAGCTCTGCACACAGGATTAATGAAACCAAGTTGACTGGGGAAGCTATGTATATCTGAACTGTTTTATAGTATTGTCATAAGTTTCCAAATGTATCGTTCATTTTCACATAGACAACTGTATTGTATTAACTAGTAATATCTAGAGAATTTTCTGGTTTTGTTTTGATTTTGAAATAGCCATGCTCCTTGGTGTCCAGCTTGTCGACAGTTTTCACCAATTTGGCAACAACTCTCAGATGATAGTTCAATCAATGCTTTTGTCGCAGATGTTGATGTAACAGAAAGTCCTGTCCTTAGTTTCATATTTTTTGTCAAGCGATTACCAACTGTCTACCAGTAAGTTTAATTTTAAGTAGAATTATTTCCATAACTCAGTACGTAGATTAAAGTTACGAGTTTCCTTTGAGATATTATCAGTTTGTAATTCTTTGTTTTGTCACTGGATAATTTGTTGAAAACAGCTCCGGGAGACTAGTTTTACAAACAGTTTAATGAATCAAACAGACAGGTGAAATTGTTACTAGTTTGATGCGCCATTTAACTTAGTACTCATGCTATTTTTTGTATTAATCACATATACGTAAAACATTCTTGAACATTCAGAGACCGGTAAGAGCATTCTTACTTCACTGTTTAGGAAACTGTAACGTAACAATGTAGTAGACACGGTAAATACTCGGTGTGTTTGATCCATTTTTCATCGATCTCATTTGCAGCTATGCCTCTTTCGTCAAGTGATTCAAGCTTTGTCACTCTTGAAGGTTCATGTAATTGATTGATGATAACAACTTTGGATGCTTTTAAAAACATAGAAGTACAGTTCAATGTTTATCACCGTCAATGAAGTTGTAAATTACCCGCTTCTTAGTTTCATATCATTAGATTTCTAACCATCGTATAAAATTGGAGTAATTTATTGATCTTTAGTTAAACCTAATGAATTTGTTAACCATATCATTCTAACTCTATAAAATTATTGCTGTTTTTATCGTCTGTTTTTCACTTGCATTTCTAATGTTTCATATTACTGTTCCATTATGGTTTGTTAGTAAGTGTAGCGTTTTCACAAATTATTCCTAGTGATTTCTAGAGTTGCCTACAGTCTTCACTATTTTGACACATTTGAGAAAAGCAAGAATAGTGAATGTAGCAGTATAACACAAAATCAATTTTATGGTTTCTGTTCAACTGCTAACAAACTAGGAACAATGGTACTAATTCTTTAAAACTAATGTACATACTTTACATCATCTCAATGTGGATTAATAACTTAACAGTAATAAATGTACTTACCCTTCATGGAGAAGTATGGGCCTCACACCAGCATTATCCATCGAACCTCGTCTTGTAAAATTCTTTCCAGTTGCTATTCATTCTTTTCATATATGCTCCCAATTCCCGAATCAGTATGTTCTTTGGTTTTCCTCTTTTCCTTTTGCCTTTTCGTCTGCGTACAATCCTCCTTGTTCATCGATGATGCTGTCCAGGTACGTGGGATTTTTCACCTCTTCTAGAACTTTTCCACTAAGTGGATCGGTCATGCACAGACCAAATTGCAATACTACGGATCATCGTCGAACAATCAGTTGAGTGGAACTCGTCACTATACATCAACTTCATTGATTATGAAAAAGCACTTGACAGTGTAGATAGGAGAACGTTATGGAACTTCTTCCACACTATGGAGTTCCTGAGAAGACTGTCAACATTATCCGGAACTCATACGACGGACTACAGTGCAGAGTAGTGCATGGAGGACAACTGATAGACGCATTCGAAGTAAGGACCGGAGTCAGACAAGGCTGTCTACGCTCCCTTCCTTTTTCTTCTGATGGTCGACTGGATTATGAAAACCTCGACATCTGGGGGAAAACACGGCATACAATGGACAGCTCAGAACCAATTAGACGATTTGGACTTCACAGATGACCTAGCCCTCCTATCGCATACACACGAACAAATGCAGATAAAGACAGCCAGTATAGCAGCAGTCTCTGCGTCAGTAGGCCTCAACATACACAAGGGGAAAACCAAAGTCCTCAAATACAACACGGGGAACAGCAATCCAATCACTCCTGATGGCAAAACTCTGGAAGATTTAGAATCCTTCACATACCTGAGAAGCATCATCGATGAATAAGGAGGTTCAGATGCAGACGTAAAGGCAAGGATTGGCAAAGCAAGGGCCGCATTCCTTTAATTGAAGAACATATAGAACTCAAAACAACTTTCAACCAATATCAAAGTCAGGATCTTCAATACCAACGTCAAAGCAGTTCTACTGTATGGAGCTGAAACTTGGAGAACTACAACAACCACCATCAAGAAGGTACAAATATTTATAAATAGCTGTCTACGAAAGATACTTAACATCCATTGGCCGGATACCATCAGCAATAGCCTTCTGTGGGAGAGAACAAACCAGCTTCCAGCTGAAGAGGAAATTAGGAAAAGACGATGGAAATGGATAGGACATACATTACGCAAATCACCAAACTGCATCACGAGGCAAGCCCTAACATGGGATCCTGAAGGGAAGGGGAAAAGAGGAAGGCCGAAGAACGCATTACGTCGGGAAATAGAAGCAGATATGAAAAGGATAAATAACAACTGGAAAGAGCTGAAAAGGATTGTCCAGGACAGGGTTGAATGGAGAATGCTGGTGAGTGGCCTATGTTCCTTCATGAGGAGTAACCGGTGTAAGTAAGTGATTAGATTGGTTGATGTTCATTGTGTTGTATTTGCGGATTTTGATTTTTCTCTTGTGTATGTTGAAGCCTGCCAGTTCAGAGGCTGTTGCTGCATTGGTTGTCTTGACTTGCATTTGTTGGTGTGTATGAGATAGAAGGACCAGATCATCTGCGAAGTCCGAATCTTCTAGTCGCATGTAAGCTGTCGATTATGTTCCGTGCTTACCCTTAGATGTGGAGGTCCTCATAATCCAGTCAACCGCCAGAAGTAACTGTGATGTTTCTATAAACTAATTATTCCTCCTCCTGATTTCAAATTCCAAATACGTTACGTTCGTGCTCGTCTAGTTCTTTTTGGTATAAATTGCGTCATTTCTGGGATTCCTAGTTCGTACAATGATTCAAATACTTATACTCATCCCGGAAACACAAAGGCGGAGAGTGAGCAGCCTTGTCTGACTCGGGTCCTCACTTGAAATGCGTCTGTGAGCTGTCCTCCATGCATGACTTTGTAGTGTAGTCTGTCGTATGAATTTCGTATGGGGTTGACGATGTTCTACAGTACACCATAGTGAAGGATGAAATTCCAAAAGGTCCACCTATCCACACTGTCAAATATTTTCTCATAATCAAGGGGGGTGTATAGTGACTAAATCCATTCATTTTATTGTTCAATGTCGATCCTTAGAGTTGGGATTTGGTCTGTTCACAACCGATCCTTGCGGAATCCGGTTTGTTGATCTCGAAGTTGGGCGTCTACTGCATGTTTCATCTGATTCAGCAATACTGTTGAAAACCTTTCCTGGTACTGACTAGTGTGATGCCTCTGTAGCTGAGTTCTCACACTTAATCAGACCTCCTTTCCTTGGTATCTTGATGAGCTATCCTTCTTTCCAATCTGTCGGCACCTGTTTCTGCTCCCAAATCTTCCTGAATAGAATGTGTAGCATGTTTGCAGTTATCTGTATGTCTGACTTCAGTGCTTCTTCTGGTATGCTGTCAGGTCCTGTTGCTTTCCAACTCTTGATTTACCTGATTTACCCGACCGTTCGTGGAGTGACATCTATAGCAAGGTCTGGGCGTGCTGCTTCGATGTCCGGTGGGTTTAGTATGGCTAGTCCATCCAAGAATTTTTCGTAGTATTCTACCCATCTCTTCCTCGGTTCTTGAATCTCGGTGATTGTCTTGCCTTCTTTGTCCTTGACCGGTCTCTCTGGTTTGCTATATCTCCCTGCTAGTTTCTTCGTTGCTTCATATAGTTGTCTCATATTTCCTCTTGCAGCTCTTTCCACTGTCGTTGCTAGCCCTCCCACGTATTTCCGTTTGTCAGCTCTAATGCTCTTCTTCACTTACGTGTTTGCTTCTGTGTATTCAGCTTGTTCCTTAACTTTCTCCGATCTTGTTCGGCTGTTGTTAATTGCCGTATTGTTGTTCTTCCTTTCTTGAATCTTTTCCAGTGTTTCTATAGAGATCCATTCCTTATGATGATGCTTCTTGCGGTCCAGCAACTCCTGACATATTGAAGTTAGTGCTTCTTTTATCCCTTTCCCGTTGTCCTTCGTCGTAGTTTCTTCTTCTTTGAGTAGATCTTTTAAGGCTTTGCACCTGTTGTTGAGAGTTATCTTGAATTCGTTGAGTTTGTCAGTATCTCTAAGAAAGGCCGATTTAGACCTTTGTTATGCTGTTTCTCCACTTGTCCATTGCTACTTTAGCTACAGTTTCATCTTGGCTACCACCAGTTGATGATCTGAAGCTATGTCACTTCCTCTCCTAATTTTCACGTCTCCCATTGACTTTTTGAATTTTTTAGTGATGCCAGTATGACTTATTTAGTTTTTCGCAGTGTGATCCAGTACGACTCATGTAGCTTTGTGTATAAGTTTGTGGGGGGAATATTGTGCCGCCCATAACCATTTTGTTGAACGCACATAAATTTGCAAATCTTTCGCGATCTCCGTTCATTTCTCCCAGTAGTTTCTTTGTTCTGGTTAAGGTTATTTTCTACGGGACAGGATTTTTGACTCCATGTCAAACCCTCCTCCTTTTTCCGGGCTTGAGACTGGTAGTAACCCCAGAAAAGCTACAGGCGTAGTTGGCAATAAATGTGGGAGGATTATATTCATTATTTAACTATTAGTACATTTTCATGATTTTTCCATATTAATAACCGTTACTTTACTAAAATTCAACAATGTGATATATAGTATATACGCTGATCTTAAATAATTAATATCGTTCTTTTTAGGTTATATTAAGAAGAGAATTTAAAAAATAAATTAATTTATATTATTCTACTAGGTTCGCTGATCCTATCTTATGTTTCTAGAACTCTTCGTCAGATACTATGAATTTATTTATCGATACACAATCACAGTATTATATTAATAAATGTTCTGTTTTACTGCTCGCAATTCGTCTGTTTGTTCATTCGCTCATACCAAACATGGTAAAAAAAATCTGAAAGATTAGAAAATACTTTGTAAAATCTACTCGGACTACTTACAAGTAGTGGAGTAATCTCTGCCAAAATAATATTCCAGAGAAAATAATTCTTGAGCAGTAAACATGGCCTGAAACAAATTCAATAAACTACAGCTTATAAATCATTAGTATAAAGTAGAACTAATTGATTCTGGGAACTAGAAACGCAACTCATTGCAAACGGGCAAATTTGTTATGTTGTTTTATTCTAAGTTGTCCGTTTCTCAAATATGTGTATAAGAAAATTGAGGTGCTGAAAACGAATAGAAATTAATACATGACTTCCCTGTGCATATTTTGATTTCAGTGTAATCCTTGACAGTTCGAAAACGTTTGCTGCGATTTTTGAAGTTTGAAGCTGGATGAGTTAGTTAATAATGTCACGATCCCTTTAGCCGTATGGTCATGTCAATTTAGCACCGTAGGAAAACTTAAAGATAGCTTTTGACCATAGCATTATCAATGAAAAGTATGTATACAAACAAAAAAATACAAATTCAAACTTGGTGTCTTTATAGAGAAGTGGCTTTGACATTGAATGACCATACTTCCACCCATTAAGTCACAAGATCAAAAACTATGATTCACTTACTTCATCTTGGAAAGCATAGTGGAATCACTAGCCTTCACACACATAAATTGACTCGAAGCCTAGTGTATTAATCTTCATTCTCTTATTAAGTTATATCAAATTAAATTTCTACAAAACGCCTTCATTGGTTACGTATGACTGATTTTAAAACACGAAATCATAAAAGTGAATAAGTTTGCTTATATGATTAGTAATTTAATTACGATAAAGTTTAATATATATTTTATTATTCTTTGCTTAATATAAAATATACTTTAACTTGACTGTAAATAATTCATCAAGTGCATATCTTTGTATTTTAGTGTAAAAAATGGCCTATTCAGAGTATACGACGGGGCAAGAACTCTTGATGATCTCAGAGTTTATGTGAAATCTGAAAAATATGAAACTGAAACACCTTTACCATGGTATTACTCACCAGCATCTTTTCAGTAATTTTCACCTGTTATTCATAATATTTTCCTTCTATAAATTACATAGTATGCATATTTTCATACGTTTCATGGATCTTGGCATTTTCATTACGGTTTGTATTTATAATTACATTTAATTGTTCATTAACCTGGTTTATTTATAGAATACTCATCAAGCATTTTTAGATGCTGGTTATAGTAATTGGATGTCATTTTTGATCATTGGTCTATCGACTATATTTTCCGGACTGTTCATTGGAATTGTAGGTTTTACAAAACAAGAATATCTATTTGTAATTTTTTTCTTTTAGATACTTGTATTGATTTTTGATTGTTTTTTCCCACCGCGTCCACAAATCCTAAGATTCATTAGGAAACCTAAAAAGGTGGAAGAATCTGTAAGTCTTGTTCTTTTTTGCCATGATTTAATTATTCATTTAGTTTGTTTTGCATAAATAACGGCTCACTGATTTCCAGTCAGTAGGGTGTTGGTCCTAACTCAGTCCTTAATTCAGTTTGGATAGTCGAGCAGAGTATCACTAGCCCTCATATAAATAGTATTGTTCAAAGTGGAGTACATAAATTCGTACTTGGTGAACGGATCACACTGTTATGTTTTCATTACTGACCAATCATGATTTTTTGATTCAACGCTAGAACACATAATAGCTAGCATGAGAATCAAAGAAAATTATAATAAGGAGTCGAATATTAATGGTAGTTACGTAAAGTTGGTAAAGGAATTTAACAATTACGTCAGAGGGAAACAAAAAAGGAAAATTGAGCGTCGACTTTGTTATTGACCACTATGGGGAGAGCAGTTTTAAAAATTCCTTGCGAAGCCATTCATTTGGTTTGTTAAGATGGATATGAGTAAATTTCAGGTAAAGACTAAATTAGTCATCTTATTCTCATTACACGGACAATTTCGTAGTACATGCTAGTAAGATGACAAATCTAACAACACTCATCCGTCTATCACGTTCACCCTAGGTTAGGAATTTAATTATAATATCACTTTTTTAAGTGTCTTGTTAATAAAGAGATCAAGTGGAACGTCAAAAGAAGCTATGCACAGGAAATTAACATCAACTAGTCAGCACACTTATTTACACCTGGTGAAAACTCTAACATATCGCGACAAGCCTATTTATTTTGATCAAATAATTGGAGATGAGTTAAAGGATACTCACAACTTACTGTGAACAGATACCTAATAAAGTCACTCCTTTAGTCATCTGCAACGTAGGACCAGGCACATATCCCGACCGTTGTTGCTACCTTGACGTGGTGGTCGGGCTTGCCTATCGTGATGAAGCAACCGAGCTATACTGGCTGGAACAACCGTTCCTCAAGGTCCTACCATGTCAGACAGGTCGGTTGAAGAGCGGTAAGACTAAAAGCAACAAACCCAAGGTCCGAAGGCGAAGTCGTACTGCTGACTGTACAAAGGTGTGACAGCAGTAAGGTGTTTCCTTCAGACAACCAGCATGACAGCGATGCTGCCCTCCCACAAGGAGGGGTGGGGTTAGAAAAGGTCGACCCTAAAAATGCACACCTCGCCTTATCCCACGGATATCCGTCTCCGGCGGTAAGGTCTCAATAAGTACGGAGCTAACACAAAAATTACCCATAACAAGGTCGTGTGTGACCGACCTCAAGCAGTTGTCCCTTGGGCACTGCGGTCACGCTCTCAGGTCACTAAGACCACCTTTAATCCAAATTCCTTTTCAGGTACCTCCAGAAGAACCCTTCCACGGTGTGGGCAACCGGGAAGTGAAAACCGCCCTCATACCTCTAACAGCACTCAAGACCACTGTATTCATAATCAAACTTCCTCTTCAATTCCTATTATTCCTCCTACATCGACTTTCAACTTGAAATTTCCTCTCTCGGCTTCCACCTCAAGTGTCACCATAGCCAACGATTCTAGTGCGCAAAATACTGTCCCAGGTCTACTGAAACCTCGCCCCAAACTACACATTGGAGCCTTCAACGTACGAACCCTATGTCAAATCGGTCAGCAGGCTTCCTTGGCTAAAACCCTAGAGTCTCTTACCATTGACGTGTGCTGTGTCTCCGAAACACGCATACAGGATTCCAGTGTGGTCATTCACCTGACCTCACCTCGGCAAAACGGAGAGCCAACGAGGTACACCCTTCGTGTATCTGGTGACCCGATGGCAAGTTCTCGTGGACTGGCAGGTGTAGGCATAGCACTAAGCATGAGGGCCGAACAAGCACTGCTAGAATGGATCCCCGTCAACAGTCGTCTATGTGCTGTTCGGCTGAACGGCTACGTAAGAACTCGGAAGGATAGGGACACACGTCGTTGCCTTTTTGTCGTTTCTGCCTACGCTCCCACTGACTGCAGCTCAGATGATGTGAAAGATGAATTTTACAGAAAGCTGTCCGAACTTCTTCAGAAAGCTAAACGCTCAGACATACTACTCGTAGCAGGTGATTTTAATGCTCAGATAGGCAGTTTAAACCAAACAGAAAGGCATTTAGGTGGATATTTTAGTATTCCGACACAGCGAACAGATAATGGTGATCGTCTGCTGCAACTATGCTCAGACAATCGTTTATTTTTAGCAAACACAAATTTTAAGCATAAGGAGAGACATCGTCTAACATGGCGACCCCCTACACCAAACCAACGATGGACTCAAATAGACCATATTGCCATCAGTCATCGTTGGAGAGGGTCGGTAGAAGATTGTCGCTCATTCTGGAGTACCTACTTGGACTCCGACCATGCCCTAATACGGGCACGCATCTGCTTGCGCCTCACTGGACGCAAAAAAGCCACATTAAAAAGACCCGTTAGAACTGATTTGAGTAACGAGAAAACCAAAAGTAGGTTCCAGGAACAACTGAGGTCACACTTAGGTAGTTGTGAAGACGAGGCTGACCCAGATGTTGCTTGGAAGGGCATACAATCAGCTGTGGAAACAGCAGTGACATCTATTAGTGACTTAAACCACAGAGTTGCAAGGAACCAGTGGATTTCTTCAAGGTCTGTCACACTGATGGATTCTCGCAAACTCGTCCCATCAGGTTCTGAACATGATGAAGAGCGAAAACAAATCAGATCTAGGTTAAGAAAAAGTCTAAAGAACGACCGTGAGCAGTGGTGGGCAACGAAAGCAAAAGAGATGGAAAAGGCGGCGACTATAGGGAACACAAGACAGCTTTACAGACTAATAAAAGAAACTGGAATTAATAAGTCAAGTGTAAGTGAGATTATATCGGAAAAAGACGATACACTCATCTGCTCCAATTCCAGGCGTTTAGAACGATGGGCGGAACACTTTAGGGAACAGTTCAGCTGGCCTTCAGCTACTCTACAACTACCCTCCATTCCCAGACAGTGTGAATGGAACATTGAAGTAGGTCCCCCTACTCTTGCTGAAGTTCAAAAGGCTATAGTTAATCTGAAACGAGGAAGGGCAGCTGGTCCAGATGGATTGGCTCCAGAGGTCTTTAAGGATGGTGGTCCAATTTTAGCGATTAAGTTGACTAATATTTTAGCTAAGATCTGGGAATTAGACTTTATCCCATCTGACTGGTCGCAATCACTTATCGTCCCAATATATAAGAAAGGGTCAAAATCATCCTGTGACAACCATAGAGGGATTAGTTTAACAAACATAGTATCTAAAATACTGGCCTCGATAATTATCAAACGCCTAACTAAGACTCGTGAACTACAAACTCGAGAGAACCAAGCTGGCTTTAGACCTGGTCGTGGCTGCATCGACCACATATTCACCATTCGTCAGGTTCTAGAACACAGGCATACCTATCGGCGTCCGACGATGGTGGTCTTTCTTGACTTAAAAGCAGCATTTGACTCGGTAGACCGCGAGACTCTGTGGCAGTGTCTGTCATTGAAAGGCGTACCTCAGAAGTACATAAACCTTGTGAAGGCTCTTTACTCGAACACTACTAGTCGAGTCAGGGCTTATGGCGAACTGTCATCTACTTTTGCAACCTCAAGTGGTGTCCGTCAAGGCTGTCCACTTTCTCCATTTTTGTTTAACTTCATCATAGACCTATTGATGGAAATAACACTCTCGTCGACTGACTTCTCGGGTATTGATCTCCTTCCAGGAGGTCCACTTATCGACTTAGAATACGCAGATGACATAGTCCTGTTTGGTGAAGACGCTGACAAAATGCAGAGTCTTCTGGTAGCACTAAGCAACAATGCCAGAATGTTTGGGATGAGCTTCTCTCCCTCTAAATGCAAGTTGTTGCTTCAGGACTGGTCTGCGTCAACACCTGAACTAAGGATAGGGAGTGAAGTAGTCGAACGCGTTGATAACTTCACTTATCTTGGAAGTGTGATCAGCCCTAATGGGTTGGTATCGGACGAAATCTCAGCACGGATTCGAAAAGCTCGCTTGGCTTTTGCCAACTTGCGTCACCTTTGGCGAAGGCGAGATATCCGTCTATCAATAAAAGGACGGGTATACTGCGCGGCAGTTCGTTCTGTTTTAATTTACGGCAGCGAAACATGGCCACTAAGAGTAGAAGACACTCGTAAGCTATTAGTATTTGACCACAGATGCCTTAGAAATATTGCTGGCGTCTGCTGGGATCACCGGGTAAGTAATAGTGAGGTTAGACGCAGGGTATTAGGGAATGATGGTAAATCAGTTGATGAGGTTATGAATCTTCATCGACTGAGATGGTTGGGCCACGTATTACGTATGCCTGAACACCGATTACCACGACGTGCAATGCTAACCGGGGTAGGGGATGGTTGGAAGAAAGTTAGGGGCGGCCAAACCAAAACGTGGCATCAGTGCCTGAAGTCACTAACTTCTAGTCTGAGCCACGTTGGTAGATGCAGACTACTTGGTTGGGGTCCGCGTGACTTTCGTAACCAATGGTTGGAGACTCTTGGTGACATGGCTCAGAATCGATCACAATGGCGTCGGTGTATACACTCCCTGTCTTCCCTTAAACTAAAAGATTAAAATCACTTCATTCTTTCTGTCTACGAACTAATTCTTTCTTCCTATACTATATCCTTATTGCAACCTTTGACCTAACCACTCCTATGAATCCGGTGTTCATCTTGCTGTGCTAATGAGGTATGGCAACCTGGACCGATGCACATATGTGCCTGGTCCTACGTTGTAGCTGAATGACTGACTGACCAGGCACATATATGCATCGGTCCAAGTTGCCATACCTCATTAACACAAGATGGACACCGGATTCATATAAGTAGTTAATTCAGAGGTGGTAATATATAAAAGAAAGATTACAATAAGGATATAGTACAGGAAGAAAGAACTAGTTCGTAGAAAGAAGGATATG